CCCCCTCATTCATACCATTTCACGAAATCTAGGAAGTTGCTGGAATTACTTAAGAAGCTTGATAATACGGGTATCATTCCGTCTGTCTGAATTCGCTTCATATCATCCAATCGATTCATAGAACACGCAGGCTGAATAACTGCAGCATGCTAATTTCTCGCTTCACAGGTATTCTGAAGTCAATACTCCAGTCTTATAACTATACACACAACCACAAAACAAGATGGCATCATCACTACTCAAATCCAAATTCTTGGCTGATGTTCAGTCTGAAGAATCCAGCCGCAAACCTTCTCCCCAACCTACCCACTTTAGCCTTCCATATTCATCATTGACGAACGGCAATGGCAACCGAACTCTTCGCTCTGCCACTGTTGGCTATGTCGCCCCTGAGTTTGCAGGGAAGCTCGAGCAAATGAACTCTGTTAAAAGCATTCTGCAACAGGCCGGCTACATCCCAGAGACCCTAATTGATGAACAGATCAAGTGGTTCTATGAGAAGTTGGGTATCGACGATGTCTACTTTCGCATTGAGACACCGGATGCCATCGCCAGCCACATCAGCTCTCTTTACGCTGCCAAGGTGGCAGCTTATTCCCGTGAGGACAAGAAGGAGGAGATTCGCCTGGACATGGAAGCAAATGACCATGCCATTTACATTGACACAAGTGAACCAGGCGAGAGCAATGTCGGTGGACCTAGATACGAATCTCGTCTTGAGGCCAAATATCTTGACCACCAGGGCAAGACGAAGTATCGTGTCGAGACCTTTCGCTCCCCAGCTGTAATTGGCGCCAGTCCATCATCAAAGGCGACTCTCCGATGCTACTTTGTCTACCAGTGTCAGTTCGCTCAAAGCCCCAAGGTGACGGACCCCAAGGAGACCAACATAGAACGAATTTCGGATGCTGGCTTCTGGCAAAAGGCAACCGAAAATACCAAGCAGATCTATCAGGAAATCATCGAACTCGCTGTCAACCGAACTGGCCCCGTTATCGAGGTCTTTGATATTGAGGATGTCGCAGAGAAGCGACTGGTTGTTGCCTTCCGAACACGTACTGCTCGCGGCATGTTCTCTGCTCTGAGCGATCTTTACCACTACTATGGTGTTACCAGTTCAAGAAAGTACGTGGAGCAGTTCTCGAATGGTATCACCGTAATGAGTATTTACCTTAAGCCCTCATCCCACACCGATGGCTACTTCCCTCCTCTGGACGAGTCTATACACCAAATCACCAAGGAGATCTCACTTCTGTATTGCTTGCCCCAAAACAAGTTCCACAATCTGTTTGCGATCGGAGCCCTCAGCCTCCAAGAGGCTGTCTATGCACATTCGGCCTGGGTCTTCGTTCAGCACTTCTTGAACCGCCTCGGCCCCGAATATGCGTCCTTATCTGAAGTGCTGGATATGGACGATCCCGCCCAGGCTGCTCTGCTTTCCAAGTTGAAGCGCCGCCTGCGAACCGAAACCTTCACTCCTGACTACATTCTCGAGATCATTCAGACCTACCCAGAGCTAGTAAGACTCCTCTATGCATCATTTGCTAATGTCCATCTCGGCGCCAAGAATGAGCAGGTGGCCGTTACACCTGCTGTGGACGTTCTCAGTGATGAGAAACTCAAGGACAAGATTTCCAAGACTGTTGCGAACGAGCACGATGAGATGGTCATGACTGCCTTCCGTGTTTTCAATAACGCTATCCTCAAGACCAACTACTTCACCCCTACTAAGGTTGCTCTTAGCTTCCGCTTGGATCCTGCCTTCTTGCCTGAGGTTGAATATCCTCGTCGTCTGTATGGCATGTTCCTTGTCATTGGTGCTGAGTCGCGGGGTTTCCACCTCCGTTTCCGAGATATTTCACGTGGCGGTATCCGTATTGTCAAGTCCAGAAGCAAAGAAGCTTACGCCATTAATGCTCGCAACTTGTTCGATGAGAATTATGGCCTGGCGAGTACCCAGCAGCGAAAGAATAAGGATATCCCTGAGGGTGGATCCAAGGGTGTTATTCTTCTTGACCCCAAGCAGCAAGACCGTGCTCAGGAAGCTTTCGAGAAATACATTGACAGTATCCTCGATCTGCTGCTGCCAGCTCAGACCCCGGGCATCAAGAACAAGCTCGTAGATCTTTATGGAAAGGAAGAAATCCTGTTCATGGGCCCCGATGAGAATACGGCTGATCTAGTCAATTGGGCTACTGAGCATGCCAGAGCCCGCGGTGCTCCATGGTGGAAGTCTTTCTTCACCGGCAAGTCGCAGAAGCTTGGTGGCATTCCTCACGACAAGTATGGTATGACAACGCTCTCCGTACGTGAGTACGTCAAGGGTATTTACAGGAAGCTTGAACTTGATCCTGCTACTGTGCGCAAGATGCAGACTGGTGGTCCGGATGGTGACTTGGGCAGTAACGAAATCCTCCTCGGCAATGAGAAGTGGACTGCTATTGTTGACGGGTCTGGTGTCATCGCTGACCCCAACGGCCTTGATAAGGATGAGCTTGTTCGCCTGGCTAAGAAGCGTGCAATGATCAACGAGTACGACATGACAAAGGTATCCAAGGATGGGTACCGTGTCCTTTGCGAGGATACTAATATTACTCTCCCTACGGGCGAAGTTATCACCAACGGCACCTCTTTCAGAAATACCTACCATCTTCGCGACACTGGAATGACGGATGTTTTTGTTCCCTGCGGTGGTAGACCCGAGTCTATTGACCTGATTTCCGTCAGCAGACTCATCAAGGATGGAAAGTCCACTATTCCGTACATTGTGGAGGGAGCCAACCTTTTCATTACCCAAGACGCTAAGCTCAGGCTCGAGGCTGCCGGCTGCATCCTTTATAAAGACGCCTCTGCAAACAAGGGTGGTGTTACCTCTTCCTCACTTGAAGTTCTTGCGTCTCTTTCATTTGATGATGCAGGCTTTGTCGAAAACATGTGTGTAGATGCCAAGACTGGCCAGGCACCACAGTTCTATAATGACTATGTTTGTGAGGTCCAGGCCAAGATCCGCGAGAATGCCCGCCTTGAATTTGAGGCTATTTGGCGTGAGCATGAGGCGACCGGTGTGCCTCGCTCTATTCTCTCGGATAAGTTGTCCAACGCGATCACTACTCTGGATGAGGAGCTTCAGCAATCTGATTTGTGGAGTAACGAGAAGATCCGTCACGCAGTCTTGCAAGATGCATTGCCCAACTTGCTTTTGCAGAAGATTGGTTTGGAGACCATTATCTCTCGCGTGCCCGAGTCGTACCTGAGAGCCATTTTTGGCAGCTTCCTGGCTAGTCGCTTCGTGTATGAATTTGGCAGCGAGCCTAGCCAATTTGCCTTCTTTGACTTGTAAGTTAATGCCACTTTTACTCGATGGAGACATCACATGTTACATGTAGAGACAGTTTGTTAACAGTATGACAGCATGTCAAAGCGTATGGCGCAACTTGCCGGCCAGCCAAACGGTGCTGGGCAAGTAAGACGCATGTCTGTCAGCGGACGCGCAGCCTTATAACGCCTTATCCAATTTCCGGGGTTGGATTTTCGCAAAATGCCTTCTTGAGCCATCTCGGGCATTAGTGAAAATGAGCGAAGCTGAGTTTGGGGGTGGGTTTGAATGACTTTCACAAGACAAGAATTATATACAATGTGGAGAGATACACAGTAGCATTGCGAAGGTGCATTATGATTTTATTTTACTTCGTATTTTCTTCTTCTTCAACAGATCTTGCAAGCTTTTCTTTGAATATTGCTAAGCATTCGGACTGGAGAACAGGTTGGACAAGATTCAAAATAATGGGATATAATACAGTGAGGTGAAAAGTACGAAAGCTCGAGGGATATTGTGGTCATTGAGTTATACTACCAACAAAATCGAAGATGCGTGTGCATAGAAACACAATCTAGATCCTATATGGCAATAGTGCAGGACGTATGGGCCAAGGATGTGCAACCTATTTGGTGACGTGTACCTAGGAATAAGTTATGAGGGAGAGCTTCTTGTTTTCGGCTACTATTTGTTCCACAGGATGAGGTGGCAGTTCGTGTCGAATCTGTCGATCAAGGAAGGGCATTGGGACGGATATGCTGCTTGTGCTGTGGTAGTGGTACGAGACAAGTGCGGTTGCACAAATGAGTCGCAGACGATGTGACTGGATTGGGTTCAACCTACCGAGGACCTGAAGGCAAGGCAAGGCGGGGGCGGTCAATGCGCGAATGGGACATGGCCACGGCTTATTTGGCATCTTATGTATCTAGGTATATTATCTGTGCAAGTAGCTGTCAAACGCAGTACCGATAGGTGATAATTAAGAAGAACAAGAGGACGAGTAAGAAGTACTCTGAGAGAGGTATGTGTGTTGCATCGCAGCTGGGATGTGCAAGCCACTTTAAGCAAAGTGCATTAAATCCCTTTGGCTGTGCTAAGGTGCCAGTCAGGTATCGGCCCCATTTTTTCTGCGATTCCTAACGGGTTCCTTTTTAGCGTCAAAAATGCCCCATACGCTAGGTTCAGCTGTCATATGTGCGATGTAGCTCTTTGTAACTCACAGCATTAATAGACTTCTATCATCTTATTATTTCCTAGCGGGGTTAAGTATCTTTAAATGTAGGGTTTTTAATTGGCTAAAACCAAAATTCGATACCTGACTGGCCCCTTAGCACAGCCAAAGGGATGGAGCGACATGTGCAGCATTATGTTGTGCACCAAGGCAGGAGGAGCGCGACGGACCAACCAGGGCGCGGGGTGACTCCGTAGTACTTGGATCTGTGCATTAAGTGGTGCCTACGGACTACTCCCGTACAGGTGGGTATTCAAGTGCTCGGTAGCCTCTATTGTACGGAGTAAATGTTGTTGTACGGTTGTCCAACGGTGCGCGACTTCTTCTCACGACAATCAAGGCCAGACATAGCGACTTTGGAAGCGAAACGGGCAAGTACTCAAACGCAGCCAGACAACGGCCAAGTCAGGCAGGTCTGACATTGAAGCACGATTCACTGTTTCTCTTGAGAGCATGTTGACTGCTAGGTTCTGTGTAGGTTTTTGTCCTTTATTCCTGCTGGCCCTGCTGCACGCACATGTGCGCTTTGAGAAGTGTTGCAGTAAGTAGAACAAGTAGAACAACTTAAGTACTTAAGTGCTCTGAGTACCTAAAGTAGGTAGGTAGGTTCACGGCACTCCGTTGTCCGATTTTCTTCTTCTTTCTTCCTCTTTTCTTCCCTTTTCTTTTTGACAGTAGACACCTACTAGGCACTTGGTAGACAGGGCATGTACTCCGTCCTTTAGGTACCTACCAGGTACCTGCCTTGGTACTCCGTACTCCGTACCTACTCGCAGTACATCTATCTGCCTGGGCTTTAGCGCCGCATAATCCAGACAACTACTGTCCCTCCCTGTCTAACTTGAGCAACTCGGCACGTCTCTTGCTCGTCGTCCCATTTGCATTGCAATTCTCTTCTATTCAATTCAACTTGAGACCAATTCATCTCAGCCCGCTCCGTTTTTCTTGTTCATTATCGCATAGACTGGAAGCGGTTACGGGCTGTTCGCCGGCGCACGGCTCCCGAAAGCAGAAATCTGCCCGACTTCGAAGTCCGTCGTGACCCCCTGGACCCAACAAGCGTCTCCAAGCCTTTTGAGCCTTCCATCCCCCCCCCCTCTTCTGCTGGCTGCGCAAAATCTCGAGTCCCGAGTCTCGCTTCATGTTCACGGCGTGCAGCCTCAGCCTCAGCCTCAGCCTCGCCGAAACAAAGAGCTCGTCGATTTGAATTTGGTTTAGCAACGGACTGGTACTGCTCCGTACTGGTCTACCGTAGTCTGCACTGACGGCAACGCTTCAGCCCTTTTCCAAGTTGGCCTTTCTTGCAGGGCCGCCGTTGATCATCCAGGATCATCCACTGGTCCCCGTCCTACAATAGTCTCTCGCCCTCCGCTTCCGTCGTCGTTCTCCTGCCGCCTGTCCTTTGGAGCCATTGTCCTTTGTCACTCGACCGATCTTGGACATCGCTTGGAACACGATCCGCCGTGTCGCTCGGCGCACCAGGTTCTCGGAGCCACAGCGTTGAGAATGACGAGGCCGTCAATTATTCGCGCCGGTACGTTTCCATCTGCCTTGTCTGTCCCCTGGTCTCTTTCTTGTCCATCTGCTGGCCCTCACACCCTGGTCGCTCTTGTTTCCAACCCAGGATTCGTTTCCTCGCGACCGCGCCTTCAGGCTGTTTCGTCTGCGACGGACCAGTGCATTCCAGCCGCCTGTCAGCTTGCCTGATCTTTCCACTGTAGACACGGATCCAAAATTTTGTTTTGCTGCCCTGTACAGCCAACGCCTGCCCTGCACAAGCCTCTACTGTTGCTGACTTCTCCGTGCTTGCTGTCGCATCCAACAGACACGCTCGACCTTCAGGATCACGTTGCACCGTCGGCAAAGGACCACCACTCCAACCACTCTCACCTCTCCGATACGCCGCCTGGCGGTCCGGGCCTGTCAATTGCTCCTCACCAGGCCGAGACAATTCGTGACGTCGCTCTAGAGACTGCCGCAGCCGAGGCCCATAGCCCAAGGGTGTCTTGGGCCAGCGGCAAAGTCGACGACGATACCAGCGACTTGCTTCAACAGTACGCTGACGACCATCCAGCTGCAGCCAAGCACGACGTCGCCGGAGGTGGCCTGGATATCGAAATGTATCGCCACGAACAGCAAGACGCCTTAGCCATTGCCCAAAATGGCGGCGTCTCATCGGCAGACGAAGATGACCTCGACGTCGACGGCGACGATTTAGATGACGATATGGTGGACAAGATTTCCAGTTCTCCCTCTATAGAAGACGGTGCGTTGAACCCTGTTGAAATGCCAGCGGCTTGGCCGCGGCGTGAGTCCTCCCTCACGTCACTTACCCGACAATTGGAGATTGCGAACATGCCGCCCGAAATGGTTGAGCCAGTAGCTGTAGGCTGCGTCAATCCCGAGCAGGCTCTCCTCGTTCCTGAGACAAGTGTATCACAGTGCAGCAAATCCGAGTCTGTTGCTGAGTGGCAACATTGGTTCGATTCTCGACGGCAATATTCATGGCCAAACGTGGGCAGACGCTGGGATTGTGACGAAGAATGCGAGGGCCTCACCGAACCCGAAGTCGGACATCTCAATAGAGCTACTTGTCAGAAAGAGGATTGTCTGGATTGTCTCCCTCGTGTCAACACAAACTGGCCTGAGCATTCGGCGCGTCTTACCAAGGCTTAGAATCCCTTGCTTATGCGTGCTCGACCGGATTCGGTTTTTGAGGCACAATTCTTCAACACCTGTCGATTTGACGATTCTCTCGCATCCTCTTCCTGCGATGGCTGTCGTAGCGCAATGAATTTTGAAGCCCTGTTTGTCCCGACTGACTCTCAATGCTTTGCCGCAACGGAAACCTCGGGAGACCGTCATGTATCCTTCATTCATTCACCACCCAATCATGCTGGCTTGCTTGAACCTTGTAGTGAGGATGAATGCTTACTTGAAACAGAGGATATCGACTTTGAGTTCGTTTATGCTCTCCACACCTTCGTCGCCACCGTGGAAGGCCAAGCGAATGCTACCAAGGGCGACACAATGGTACTTTTGGATGATAGCAATAGTTACTGGTGGCTGGTGCGAGTAGTCAAGGATAGCAGCATTGGTAGGTCTCAATCACACCCACATGCGCCTCCGACGATAACCTTTGCTGATATGTAATATATGTAGGTTATCTTCCTGCTGAGCACATAGAAACGCCCACTGAACGACTAGCACGGTTAAACAAACATAGAAATATTGATGTACGAGCAAATCCAACACCAGCAACAGTATTCCTCGGGACTAATCAATTCCAGCTTTCTGCAACTATGCTCGGTGACCAGGCACAAAACAAAAAGAGCTCATTCAAATCCATGCGAAGGAGACGGAAGACCGTGACATTTGCTGATCCGACGTATGTTGATTATTCCGATTTCGACTACTCTACCGATGATGAAGATATCGAAGAGTTGTTCGGCTCCCAGGCGAATACACAGTACCAAAAAGAGCAACAGCAACAGAAACAGCAAGACAAGCAAAACGGCACGGAAGATGCCATTGCGGATGAGACTGCAAAGGTCGAGCCTCTTAAAACTAGGCCATCGAATGAGGAAAAGGTTGCGACGGAGTCCGTCAGGGACGTACGGACAGATGATGACGATACAAGGAGCAGCGAGGAATCCATTGACGAAAAGCCTGAGGGTCCCAGTCGGTCGAGGAACGGAACCGTCAGAAACACTGACTCGTTCTTCAAAGATGAGAGTGTGGAAACTAAGAAAATTACTCTTACTCCGAATCTCCTGCGCGACGATAATACACCAAGACAATCCAGTGACTCAACTACTAAGGATGCTAGATCAGGGTCAAGCTTGGACAAGATGGACCGGGAGCTAGTTTCTGACAAGGAAAAGAAGAAGATGAAGGAGAGGGAAAAGAAGGACAAGGATAAGAAACCTGGCGGTCTTCGGGGATTCTTCTCAAGAAAAGATAAAAAGAAAACTTCTGAAGATGATGATGAGTCGTTCGGCAAGCGATCTATAGACATTATGTCTGAATCACGAGATAGCGAAGACCGCTCTCTGGAGGAACCGTTATCTCCAGATCGCACAGCATCTCAGAGGCAACCCTCCAAGCTTCAAAAGTCTGCGCCCAGCAACAAGGCAGCAGGGGTTGTTCAGAAATCTGTTGAACTTTCGTCATATCTTGCTGAGGGTAGGACAAACGATGTCTCAAGCGTTCCGCCAGCATCTATGCGGCTTGTCGACCCTGACACGACTGAAGCCCAAGACGTGCCAGTAAACCAGACACAGACTCGGAACGCTTCTGGGGAGCGGTCAGCGTCGTCGACTGGTCAGAAAGAGGAAAAGTCAGTCATGTCTAAACTTGTGCCTTCCCGAAGCGCCGGCGACCCCAAACCGCAAAAGACAGTCAAGGCCAAGACGCGCATGGAACTTGATACATCTGACAGCTCCGAGCTTGAGGAATTCTACACGGAGCGACCAAATGCGGCTTCCGCTGCAATTGCAGAGCCGGAACATCGAAATCAGACCGACCAGCCCGCAAGATCTCGTGTCGAAAACGCTCAAACCCCTACGACGGCTGGAGCTGCTCGCGCCCAGCAAAGCCCCATAGATCAAACTCTCGAGAGAAATGGGTCGTCCTCGCCTGCCAATGCATCCAATCCACCTGCGCTGATGGTCGATACTTCGTCGCCGGAAGGTAATTCGCCAGAAGCGTCGCCATCGCCAGAGCCTGAAGAGACTGTTGATGATGTTGCTAGAGAAAGCAGTTCCGCCAGCAGTGGAAAGGAAGGGGCATGGGATGACACAAAGCTTCGGGCCTTCTTTGATGAAAGCGACCAAATTCGTGACCTTCTGGCAGTTGTGTATGATAAGACGAATGTTGAACCGGCAGGAATTGACCATCCTGTCGTCGGCGGACTTTTCCGGGAACAAAATGCCAAGCTGGCAGAAATTACGACTGTAAGCAACAGCCCGCTCACTACATGAAGATGACAGCACTGATATAGGAGTTTTATAGCAACTTGACAATATGCTCGGAGATTGGCTTGCCAGGAAGCAGCGTCTTCGCGGCACCATTTAGATTCCGAGCAGGGTGTTTGAATAACAGCTTGCTGCGAGCAGGAACTTAGTTATGCCATGATTGATACGCCCTGTCCTTTTCTTTGTTGTATATTTGGCGTTCACATGAGATACCAAGATTATCCACATTGCAACGACTTGCTTCTTTGGCATATAGGCATCTGGGCTGGAGAGACCAAATACATACGTCTCTCATCGGCCACTACGGCGTCGGGGTCTAAACTGATTCGAGTTGAAAAAGCGATAAAAGTGGCACTTTGGAATGCGTGCGGGATATTTTTCCCTGGCATCTTTCAATCCCGGTACTCAGTTGCCCTGCCACGTGAGCTTCTTCCTCGTTTTCTTTCTATCTTTTGGCTTCCAATTCTTGGGTTTTCCGGATGTTTTCTCGGGATATTGAGGAAGGATAAACATGCTGATATGAGATACTTGCACAGTGTATGCACAAAGAACCAATCATGGAGGATTACACCATGCAGAGCGATTGGTCTCTGCTTGATATCACTGTCCATCTCATAACATCTTGCTTCGTCTTTACAAATGGACTTTTATTGGTCCTTTGTCTTTCATTTCTGAATGATCAGGTTTGCAAGCCTTCTCTTCAACCCACAACTCCAGGTTTCTGGACCAGAGACGTAGAGATTGGCTCGTGCGATACCTGCATGCTTTCTTTCTTCTTTTTTCTTTAGTGGCTTATTCTTTTCTTGGACGGTAATCTGCAAATAAGTAGCAAATGCAGACTTTGAGAGTCTGGCACGGGAAAAAGAAGAAAAGGATGTTTGTCAGTGAACTGTGAGGCTGTAGAGAACCACGGCCGCGTCACATAAAGGACATTTGTTGTCATATGCGGGAGGGAGGATTGTACAATATTGTATAGTGTATAACTACTGCATAGTTGCAGAGGGTCGCAAATACGAACAATTGTCAATGCTTGTCATGGGATGTACGCGAGCTGAAGTGAGACTTGCACATCATTGTCGGCATAGGGCAGCACGTTGAAACCTGGTCAACCCTTCTTGTCAGTGAACTGTACATGAGCTGCTTATTTCGATGTCTTGCTAGATTCATTGACTAATACCGACGACGTTCGGAGCGGAGCAAATGAGACAGAGGGCGGAAATTCTGCGTTTCTAGCCATGTATGTATTTGCTTGAGATGAGATGAATGCTCGGCCTATCCTCTCCTTGTCGCATCACTTCCAGACCAAAAGCAGGTTGCTCATTTCCCATCTTATCATGCTAACGTATGGCATGTAGTTCAATACCAACGCTTCAACTCTCGCAAAACACTGGTTTAAGACATTACGAAGCGACATGTATCACAGGGCTAATTCCGTATTCCGGAGGAGTAATAACTTCCATTGCGTCAAGGACTCATGTATCCCCTTTTGCGTTGGTCCATTTCCCCCACTAGCAAGATCTAGAAGGTGTAAAATTGCCAGTATAGCAGGAGGAAAATGGCCTATACTACTTCCCGCCGCGCGCCAATGCCAGAGCCCGCTACAATTCGTCACTTTTGTTCACTTTTCATCATGAGAAAAAAATCAAAAGGATAGAGGACGTGGGCCTTGACATGTTGTGTTGTTTTTTTGGATGATAGCGCAAAGACTCAATGATAAAACCCCCAGTCCGATGCAATCCGTGAAAGCAGTCCCAGAACCGATTTGTTTCGCCCCCAAAATCTCATTTACACCTCGGTAGTGACCTTTGCCCTGGCATTTGTGACCTTGACTCCTAACTGCTTAGCGCGGGCGATGATGTCAATTCGCTTTCGGGAGGAGACAGCGCTGGCGATCCTGTAGGGTGACTAGTTAGTATGTTTTTTTCTGCTCTTCCCTCTGTCCTTTTTCGTTTGATAAATGCTTCTTGATGGGCTTGAGGAAGTTTGCCCAAAATCCGTCATTTGGGGGGGTTCGAATAGACGTACTCAGCGGCATAGGTTCGGTTGTGCATCATCAGAAGTTCGACATCCTTGACGTTGTTGACTAGGAAAGACTTGTGGCCAGAGGGCATCATGTAGCGAGTCTTCTTGTTGGACCCGAAACCGATCTATAATTTTCCAGTTCATCAGCATTTTCCTTCGCTCTGGCGCAAAAAAACTTTCGTCCGTGTCATTCACTCAACCCGTTGCATGTTTGCATCTTGCCAGACGTTCGGAGGGGAAACATGACTTCTCCCACGTCTGGTACTTCCACCATGGTGGGGGGATTTCAAGTGACATAATTCGGCAAGAGGAAGCGGGATCAACATACGGAAGGCATGGCCATGGTTCCACGAAAGCGTCTTCGGACACGGTTGTCAATGCCCTTGGGCTTGCGCCAGCTGGCACTGAGGCACTTGAACCGATCACTCTGGTGACGGTTGAAGCGCGTGGTGCCTGGTTTCATCACCAAGTCAGTATTTCTGTATAGGCCGAATAGTCCCAATTCTCCGACCACCATCTCTGCCGGCCCCCCCGCCTTCGCAACAACTCGAAAACTCATGAACTATCTTCATTTCCTTTGTATCGAGCAATCGAGTCGTTTCGAGTCGGGGGAAACACGGGTGTCGTCTCTGGCGGCAAGAAAGCGGTGGACATTATACGTACGCTTCTTCACGATGGGGACGTGCTTCTTGGCGGAAACCATCTTGATACCAACAGTCAGAATGACAATTGCCTTGTAAAATACCGGCGTTATGCGAAGGTCCATAAGCTTACCTTGACGGCGGATACTCCTGGTCTGATGGGCTGTAAAAGTTGGGCCGGCGTGATGTTCACTCGAGGCGAAATTTTGGCGGATGCCACAATGAGACGCTAAGTCGAAGGGTTTAGGGCTGTTAAGCACGTGATGACTGCTTTTTGCGGTGGGTTGTGTGGTTGCTCGTCTAATTTTGCACGAGGGGAAAGAGAGCGCAAGGGATGCCCACAAAAAAAAAATCCATCTTCCTCCCCCCCCCGGTACTAGCGTCTCCCGAGGGCACAAACCCTCTCTATGCGAAAAATTCCGCCGGGTGAGCGAGACTAGCAAGCAACTCCATCACGTCCCGCTTGTACGGTCATTTGCAACGCTCACTTGCAACACCCAAGACAAAACCAGCAATCATGTCTTCGACGACACAGAGCGTGCAATGCTTCGGCAAGAAGAAGACGGCCACCGCCGTCGCCCACTGCAAGGTTCGTTGGAGCAACAAAACCCCCCTCCCTCGGGGGCTCGAGAATCACCCACCTTATTCACGACTCAAATGAAGAACCGAAACCGACTGACAAGATGGTTTTTTTTTTTTCGATATAGGCTGGCCGTGGTCTGGTCAAGGTCAACGGTCGTCCCCTTAGCCTGGTCCAGCCCGAGATCTTGCGCTTCAAGGTACGATGATGCCACTTGGAAAGACAAAAGGGCGGAAAAGGCGCTGGAAGGATCTCCGTTACCGTCCTGGAAACATCGAAAACTACCGTGGCCATGTCACCTCTTGCCCTCTTTTGCGTGCTGCAATTTTGTTGAGCAAAGCTACGGGGCGTAGGGCCACAGATGATCTCTAAATCCATGAGGATGTGGCTTCAACAATCTCGCTTTGGCGCGTTGGCATGGGGTACATGGACGCAGACATCGACGTTTCGGTTTTCGTGTGAAACAACGGACAACTTCCAGCCCTTTGCTGCCCTTCCCTTTTTGTTTTCTCTCTCTTTTGTGCCAAGATTAACGTGTGACAGGTCTACGAGCCCCTCCTCGTCGTCGGCCTCGACAAGTTCGCCAACGTCGACATCCGCGTCCGCGTCTCTGGCGGTGGTCACACCTCCCAGGTCTACGCTATCCGCCAGGCCATTGCCAAGTCCCTGATCGCCTATTACCAGAAGTACGTCGACGAGCACTCCAAGAACATGCTCAAGCAGGCTCTCGTCCAGTTCGACCGCACCCTGCTTGTCGCCGACAACCGCCGCTGCGAGCCCAAGAAGTTCGGTGGTCCCGGCGCCAGAGCCCGCTTCCAGAAGTCTTACCGATAAAGGCGTTGCACGACAAAATGCAAAGTCTTGTTTTATTTCGACGGTTAGCGGGGACGGCAAGACTGAGAATTCTTGTCTTGTTGATGTGGTGCGGCATCATGCGAGCCCGGCAGTAACGAAAAAAAAAGAGAGAACCATTGTCCTGGTTTCGTATTTTGTGTTATTCTTTGCCTGCGCCGCGTCAGCTTGACAGGTTTTTGAAGCGAGGGGGTAGAGGGTTAAAGGAGAGCCAAGGTGGGGGATAACAAATCTGGAATGCGAGCAGGAGAGGGCGATGTCGTGTTTGGTGTGGACACACAAAATGGGGTCGGAGTCTCATATTCCCTGGTACGGGGATAGGTTTTCCCATTGGCATTTGCATGGACTTGCTTTGAACGGATTGTAAAGGGTCTGACAGGCAAATGAAATATTCAACGTTCACGTAACACATCGCCAGTGCTCTGAATCATGTCTATGCTGCTGCTACTCCTGGCATTTTGCCACGTCCCTACGTTAATATCAATGAGCATCAACAGGACATCAACGCAAATTACTTTTTGGGGAACAGATCATATGCCATACACCGTAGTGTTATACTGCCATATATATTTCGTCGTCACATGACTTGGATAATTCAAACGACAAGTAACATCAAACTGGCCAGCTCCGGGATGCTGTTCATACAGGTCCAAGGCTCCAAGCATATTTCACAGAACGACAACTAGAAAGTTTCGGTATTGATACTAAAGCAAACAGGTGCGAGATGTATGTCAAGCTCACCGCCCCAATCCATATCAGAATTTGGCCGTAGCGCCTGGTCTTGGTTGTACGAACGCGTCAGGTGTTCTCTGAACGCCTGTTCTCGCTCGTCATCGTCGAGCTGCCCATTGTGTATGACCGTTCAAACAAACCTACATCGCCAAAAGGTGTGCAAAAGGTATGATGCAATACCCAAAACTCCATGACTATCCCTCAAGCCTTAAGAATTCCTTTACTCCATAGTGTGTTTTGCAGAAACAAACAAGTCCAATTCCTTTGCCTGTTTTCCAGTAATTGCGCCATGCTATTTACCCACCTGAATAAGTCATTTGTGCACCGGGCATATGAAAAGAAAAAGGAAGGAGAAAGAAAAGAAAACACATTCCCGGTTCTTGTGTCTAGCAACCAAAATCATGGGCTTCGTCATGCTTTAAAGTAGAAGTAATGAGACGCCCGAGGGCTCGAGATATCCCTCGTCTTGCTCGTTGTCTAGTCAGACCAAGAAATCAGGCCTCGCTCACGGCCATTCTCATCCAACTCAACAAACTCTGGTGCCCATTCACCCCGTTCGTCTTCAGCCTCCAAGTCGGTCAACTCCAGTTCTACTTCTTCTCCATCTTCCATAACGACAATGCCCTTTCTGAGGTAGTCGCCGCTGAGGTCCCATCCGAGATCTGTCAAGACGGCCTCGAGCCTGGAGAAGGCTGTGCTGACGGCAAGATGGTCTGGCGTAACAATATTCTCATCATCTGAGAGGAATTCCTCCATGCGGCGTTTGTATATGATGAGGGCACTACGAAGCTCTCGGCACCTGGTGTCGTTATTGTCAAGGACTGAGCCTTCCATCCATTGACTGCTGTATGCGATTTGTGCGGCGACGGTGTGCCACACGGATGCCACAAGCAAGGGTTGCTTTTGCACAAGAAGATGAGATTTGATAAGGAGCTTGAGTAGCATGAACCACCATTGCTCGAGGCTAGCGTCGTTTCCAAGATGTACGCCCACAACGAACGCAAACTGAAGCTCTCCAACCAAGTCCTCATAAACCAGATTGTTCTTTGCGTCTTCAATCTGAGACATGAGATAGATGCTAGGATCGGTAGCCTCTCGTGTGCGCTCAGACCCGAGTGACTCGATTGAGAAGAGCCTAGTTGTACTTTCAAAAGCAAAATGCAACTCTCGCCGTTGGAGATTCCTATTGGGCACGGCTCGCTCCAATTCTACCTCGGGAGAGAACTGAAGGGCGCCTTCTGCACGATCAAGGGTATGCACAATCCAGCCACCTACCTGGGGACCTGTGATTCGGTTCAATACTGTGGCATTGATATGAGTCGTCAATTGATTCCAGATGCTGCGGTTTCTCTCGATCTGGGACACAGATAGCTGGCCACCACCATCGGTGAGCCGCGACGGGTCGACATATGGAACGAGCTGGGCATGAATATTCGGCATGTTCTCAGCACTATTGCGAGATTCTGAGCGAGTGGCTTCGGTCAGCATCTCGTTGTACGAGTCCCATTGCACAACGTGAACATGGTCCTGAGACTCCGAGCCGAGGAGCCAGACCCCGGCGCGTGCAGCAACACCGCTTGGGTGAGCAACCCAGAAGAAATGAGGACCAGCTGGGACATCCCTCACGCCCACAAAGTTCTGCGCCGTGAATGAAACACTATCGTAGGCGACGACAAAACGTTCAGGCAGATCAAGGATGACGACTACATCACCCCCTCCCATTTGATGAGCCTGGGGGTCTCTGGATCTTTTGGTTGGGCTCACAGATGAGCTCTGGCGACTGCTATGCTGGTTTCCGGCCAGCCCATAGGCACTTTCAACGGGAGATCCTAGAGGGGGGGGACCTTGGTCGTCGTCGTCAATACCAGTCTGTTCCGATATGCGAGGAGACGATTCGCGTCCCAAGACTCGAAGAGTTCCAAGCGGGTGGACGCCGACAACGCTGACAGATTCGTGTGATGTGGTAGAGTGCGCCCCGGCTGATCTTGTCGAGTTGGATTTTCGAATGCCTCTTGGCGTTGAAGCAGAGGCCCCTTTGGCGTCCATATTGAAGCTATTACCCGAGATGTCGCATCCAACGAGAGGCACGTGTAGATGGATGCGGCAAGAGTTGAGTGGTGGGAATCAAGTCGCCCTACCGGACCCTCGCTACGGCGTCGTACTTGTGTGGCGAAAGATCCGGTGCCTACGAGATTCTTCTCGGGTAGAAGCTCTGGTGGATATTGTAGAGGTTTTGATATATCGCGAAGCTGTCACTGGTGACTAGCCAGGAGGATAAAATGTCCCCAATCAAATAAATAAGAGGAAAAAAAACAGGTACCTGGGTAGGCATGTAGTCAAAAATGGTGACGACTTGGCGGGGCAAATGGGCGAGATGTCCCACATGTGCGTGCACTTGGGCCAATGACTACCGTGCCAAGTTTATGTCGGAGGAGGAAGTTGCGAAATAATGTAGAAAAGTAGGAAAAATAGAAATCGATTTTTTACCGATCCACCTTGTGCTTTTTTTTTCGGTTTAAGCGAGAGAAACATGAAACCTTATATAAGAATTACGTAGGACCTTGCACACCTTGAGAAACTGGCTCGGAAAAAAAAATATGTCCAAGTACACTTGGGAGCGCAAAATCCAACTTAATTTTAACTCTATGTACCTATACATGTTGCAAATTTCCACTTAGACTTTTGACCTACAGCATGATTGGCTTTTTACTCGGCCACATTCTCGGTGCTAGGAACAGAATCAACTTCACAGACACGCGCTCTTCACTCCGATCAAGCAAGGTAGTCAAGATGACAGCCTGTTGGCTTCTGACGTCAAGGTTCCAAAGCAAGTTTCATCAATGAGGAGTTTGGGACATTAGGTTAGCTGTGGCACTCGATAAAGTTGGATGATTAGCCAAGTACAAGACGGACTCGTACGAAGCGGTGATGTAATTCATATTGCGCCAAGGTCGAAACTCGGTCTTTCAGAATCTTTCGCAACTTAGCGGCAGAGCCTGACTTCAGCAGGGGGTTAGTCGGGGAAATTACCGTAGGGTGCGTCTATTGTAAGTCTTATGCTTTATCGCGACATGGACAATTTAGACTCTATTTTCAATGTCAAAAAAAATTGGAGTCATGCCGACATTGTTTAAAGTTAGTCCAAGTAAGGAGGCGTCGGCGTGGTGTTGCCGCCGGCAACATATGGACAAAGGGCCGGGTCCAAAGTTAGTAAACTCACCTATTCGCTTGCCTGGCGCCTGTTTCCGTGACAAGAGAATGATTTTCATTCGTCAGGCTATACACATCATTTTGCGTTTGTCTTGTCCGGCTCTTTGACTTGGCTCGCGCGATATGTAGTCTCAATTGCGAGGGCGGTTAGTTTGATTGGACGCCGAGAGTGACGCCGAAAATTGGCGCGGTGCTAAACCTTGGAAGATGGAAGGCGAGAAATTCGGCGGAACCTGGCGGTACAAACAACAACCTCGGGGAGGAAGGAGAAGGGGAACGGGGGTATGATGAAGATGAATTAGTTGTTTGTTGATGATGGACAGTGGTGGTGATGTGATTATTGGACCGTATAGCAAAATGGAATTTCGCACAGTGTGGCCGGGAACTAGTAGTGGCAAGGAAAAAGACTTGGACTGGAAAGGGCAAGGCCAGTTCCAGCATCGCGTATACATACGTACGTGTCATTGCTTACTACGGCGTTCATTATTGGTAGGTGTTGAAGATGACAAACAACACAGTGGTGTGATGTGCAAGTTGATAAAGTGCGGGCAAGGACTTTGTGCTGTACGTGTCTGGTGTGATGTCAACATAACAGTGTACTATTGTATAATAGCATGTGGACAATGAAAACCAATAACCAAGTACGCAGGTACGGAGAACGGAGCAAAAGCGACCGCATGCACAAGTGAGCAGTTGACAGCTGGAGCTAGCAGGGGGGCACCTGGGGGCGAACTACTAGGTGTTAGGTGCCTAGGTACCTAGGTTGGTAAAGACTGGGGTCGGGGGTACGACATCTGGAGACACATGGCACTTGACATGCACTGGGCACTTTATGGCATGGGACGAGATGACGTCCATGTCTGGACATCGGGAGGCACCCTGTTGCCTGTCTAGCCGTTGATTGCACCTTCCCAATATAAAGGTTACAGGGGCCACCTGGGGGCGGGACCTGCACATGTGCTGTATGGAGTCTGGTACTAACTACTTAGGTACCTAGGTAGTAACTCGACCACCAGACCGCACTTCCGGGAACAGTTATTCCCCTAGTGCAACCAGACGCAACCGCGGTCACAACATTGAAGCCAGTCAGTCCATGTCTCTCTCGTCGGCGGTCGCGACTCGGTAGGTACACGTAATACTAGGGACTTGTGGTTGACCGAGGCACGTATCTCAACGGTGCATATCATGTACATTGTATACATCGTATTGATATCACAGCGGGGCTACCCGCGCAAGCACTAAGATTGAAGCAACATTTCACCTGCCTCTCTCCACACCTATATCCATTTGGATATTATCACATTGCAGGCCGTTAGTTCGTCACGGTTATACATGCACCAACTACATGTAGCCAACTAGTCCCCTAGTCACCCGCTAGACACCGCCTCGCACAAGCCTCTATCGCTCGCATTGCAATCTCTAGTCGCCAATTTAGATGCCGCCGCCGCCGTTTCGCCAAGTGGCACCCCGTTTTTCGAACCAGAAGATCAACCGGCGCGGGCGCCTTTTTAGTTCCTATGCATGCCCACCTTTCCCCTTCGAACTACTTGGTCCTGGCTCTGGTTCTGACTCTGTTTCTATTTCTAGTCCTGGCTCTCCAACTAGCATCTAGTTCCCATGGCGCCGGCCCAGGACACAGAGAACAGCGTCGGTAACCCGATCCGAACTTACACACGCCCCCCCTTCCTTTGGTGCCGGGTGCTAACGGCAACCAACAATTGACGAGGCCATGTCCTGCCCGCGCATCATGGCTTGCCTGGTCATGCTCCCGTTTTAGTTTCCGTCGACTAGTCACAAACTGGGGAAAATTTCCAGATCGATCTAGTCGACAACGTAACCATGCGTGATGGGGCAGGGTGCTGCAATTCATCATTTCCATGGACGTTGGTCGGTTTTCTCAACGTGGCCAATCCCTTCTGCAATTGGGTCGGATCGGTGGGTCGCTCCGCTGGTAACCTGCAACGTTGGGGAAAATGAAATAGATTATATATAGTGACACTCACTACATAGCGTTGAAAACCAGCAACCATTAAAGAAAAATAATTGATGGAGGAATAGGCTGCATTTTGGACCAATCTCAAGACTCTGTTTTTTTCAGCCACCCTTTACCCCGTCCCAAGGCCACGGTGCACTTGACGTCTTCCCACGTTCAATGCTGTCCTCCTTGGAAGGGGCCGCCCCCTTTGCACCTACCTCTTCTCTCTAGTTAGTCGTGTGTGACGAAACCCCTTCTTCACTCCACGTCGTGTACAACCACCATGCACACATTCTTACCTGCACGCTTCGCTCACGCAGACCAAGACTTGCTCCTTGGGCCCTGGAACTAGTGACTCTTTCTTCGCACCCCCCTCCTTCTCCCTTTCCCGTCCCGTAGCATCCTGGCATCCAAGCAAGGCCAATCGGGCACCTGCATGGCCCTCGTTTTGCGTATAGCCTCGTTACACAACCTCGTGCTAGTTCCCGCGCTGCTTCCAAAACCGGACATGTAGACATCCCCGATATTGCAAGCCAGCCCGGCAGCTTTGCAAACCATTGGCTACCCGCCTGTTGGTTCCGTGGCCTTGGGCTCGACTAGTATTTCTAAGTTTGGACCCCAGAGCGCACTTGGACGCACCTACCACCAGCCATTGACGTCCTCGCCCACCAGTCGACCTGGGTCATCTCGAGTTGAGAAGTACCTGCTGCTGTACGGAGTACGTACTCGTGTACTCTGTAGGGGTACGTAGCAGGCAGTGCCTGACGGTAGTAGTCTCAGCCATTGAATACACGACTGCATTGACCTGTGCAAGAATGCAACTCGGCATCCATCGGCGCCGTCACCCATGATATATCCCAAAAGGCCACGAACCGTCATGGCTCACAACTGCCCCAAGTACATCCCCCCCCCTTTCCCCAAAAAGTCCGTATCGCCGTACCACCTACCCTCCTCGCGTGTAACCACCATCGTCACCCTGCTGTCTTACAGACCACCCGTCACACGAACAATCTCCCTCCATCCACCTCGTGGCCTTTTTTTTCCTCGGACCACCGTCGTGCCATGCACACGCCTCTGTGCTTGCGTGCCTGGCCGTCCGACGGTCCAGGGGATGCCCCCTTCCAAAAGCTGTCAGTCGAGCGGTCCAAGGTAAAAGAGCAAATGCCTATCTGGGTACCTACTAGGTGGGTGGGTGAGCCTCGCACACGGCGCAGCAGAAACAGACGCGGGTTGGTGGTGGTTTATCCCAGCATTTGATTTTTCTTCTTCTTGATGGGATTTTCTTGTACCACGTCAACCCGATTGCCAGACGACCGGTGGGGCCCCCAAGCCTCTCCTCCTTGTGACACCACGACCACTGCCCTGGGACCTGAGATCGATCTACTAATATGAATCACAGGGCATGGTTGCGTCGTCACCGCAGCCGCGTGGGGTGGCGTGCTTTTGTCTTTCGAAATTCGCCAATGCCGACGAGGTGGGATCGCGAAGACTGACGACGACAATGACAACCACCCACCACCACCACCAACAACAACTACTTGAATCCACCGCCACTTGGAAACTAGCTTCTGACTGCCGTCATCACCTCCCGTCAATTTTCCTGCAACTAACTCACTGCGCATTGGAGGTGCTATCCAGACGACGCGTGACTCTCCCATGTTTATTCTACATGTGTTGACATAAAAAATTCATCACAAGCTACCTCCGCATGTACCAATTGTAGGGGCGTCTCTGCAAAACGTATATTTGTACGTTTTCTTGTAGTAAAAACAATAGTTTGCAATTATGAACATGTCCATCTCGTCTTCGCTTCCGCTTCATCCCGCACCACCATCATATGTCTCGGTGCGTTTTCGTCCAA